CCACGGAGCCTGGGTACGACCAGGCGATGTCAGCCCTCCCAATGCCCCACCACGCTCTGAGGAGAGTTCTAAAAACACAAATGCCTGAGCCCAACCCCCAGAGATCCCCAGTCCTCTGGTCTGGGCATGGGGAGAGAACGCTTATTAGAAAAGGGGAGAAAAAAGTCAGGGCATCTATCAGCCTGAACTGCTTCCCCGGTACAAGAAACGGCAACTAACGTGGTTTAGAAGGCTGGATGAGAGGCCAGGCGACAACTGATCCGGTCCCTTGGGTAACTAGCTCTCCTTTGAGGGAGACAGGAGTTGGGCTCAGAGGATCACCCAGAAGCTCTGTCAAAGAAAAGCAGCGAGAAGCCTGCACTCCTGGGAGGACAGCCTGTGGGGCTCTGGGCGAGGGGAGGGCGGCAGGCAGGCAGCCATCTGAACCACAGCTTTGTTCCTCATAAAGCAGCAACCTGCACACCCCCCAAAAAGGCAAGCAGCAGCACTCTAATCTTACACTATTATTTGGAGAAGGCAAATGCCCCACGTTTGAATTGCTTAACTCGGACTACAGGTCAGAAAAAGGCCTTGTTTTTTAACCATTTTTGTTTATTTCCCCTTTTTTTTTCTTTTCTTTTTTACAGGAAGAAGAGAGTAGGTGCAAGAAAAATACTTTAGAACATGGAACTTTTGCCTTGAAACCAAAGATCTGAACCTCGGGGCCCACTACCTTGCCCCCTACACAAAGGTCCCCCCCATGTTATCTGAGTTCAATATATGTGCCTTCTCCCAAAGTCATTCACTGGTCTTATATCACATCCAAGTAGGAATAAAGGGACAAGAACTGTCACTACTCTTCTTAGAGGATGACACTTATTTGGTGATCAGTGAAAATCAACACGCTGGTCTGGAGCTGGTTTACACTACCTTCCACCAAGTGTGGCAGTCTTCCTTTTCCCGTCCACATCAGCTACACAGGGGACACTGGGCTGCTTTCTCCCCCACAGAGAATCATCCTCTCACTCCTGTCCAAGGTTCATCAGTCTAGACCGGCTAAAACTTTTTTCAGGCCATCCGGCAATCAGCTAGCAAATCAAGAAACCAAGATTACCTCACAGGCCCCGAGGATAACTTAATGCCCGTCCATTACATAGAAAGAGAGCCTCAACTGTGTTGTCCTAAAGCAAACTTTTAAAGGTATCCATGAGCAAAAGAAAGGGGGAATATCTCTAGGTTTTAGTTCATACAAGCAGGGGAGAGGAGGGGAGGAACAGGGGAAGGTGCTCCCTAAAGTAATATTTCCCAAAGGGTGTTCCGTAGAAGCTTGTCTCATGAACGTTCTTGGCGGGGTAGTAAGAACTGGCATTGTCCCAGTGCTAAACACCACCGAACAGTACAGGAAGCATTACTTTCCCACCCTCTCCAACTAGAGTCTCAGTGAAAATTACCATATTAAAGTTCTAAGAAGTCTCACAGTAAAGGAAAATGTTTCACGAACATGACTATGATCACCATAACTAATAATTCACTTGCTTACAAACACGCTGTCCAATATGTTACTACCAGCTACTTGTGTTTCCTGAGCACCTAAAATGTGGCAAGTCCAAATTGCAACGGGGTATAGGCGAAAAATACACACTGGGTTTCAAAGGCTTAGTATAAAAAAGAAAACGTAACAATAGCTCCACTTTTTACATTGCTTATATAATGAAATGACAGTATTTTGAATGGAGTTAATTTCATCTGTTTATACCTTTTCAATATGGCTACTAGGACATTTAAAATCATGTATGTGGCTCACATTATATTTCTATTGGATAGTGCGCTCCTTTAGAAAACACTAAGCTACGGCACCGGCTTAGAAGCCGCAGATATACTGTATTATCGTAGCACTTGTGTCACATTGTTTTTCATCTGAAAGATAGTGTCGCATTTGTTTATCACCTGAAAAAAGTACTCTATCCCAGAGCTTGGGATGGATAAAAACAGATGAATAAAGCACCCAGACATTCTGACCAGGAGGCGTAAGAAAGCCCACCTAGGAACGGGTAATTCCAAAGATATCAAGGAATGAGAGATATATTCCTTAGAAAAAAATGAACATCTTTCCTTTTTTGTCTATTACGACTTAGGTATTTATGTAATGACAGAGAACTGTTCCGCTTTGCATTTCGCTCCATGACACTATCTGTACAGTTATTCCTAAATATGCTCAAGATTAAGTAAATTCGGCGTTCAGTAACTGAAATCATTATCTGTGAGTACAGATGAGGACAGAGGTGCCCTCGGGGATTATGGTTCTATAGTAGATTCCACTATCTTCCACTCACTCCATGACTTTGGGTGAACCAAACCACAGCACCTATTTCCTGCGAAAGGGCAATAGGTGAGTGTCCACAGTGCTTTTAGAAGTACCTGGCACAGGCTGCATAATTTATTATCTCAGCCAACTCATGAAAGGAGCTGGTGAAATCTTACCAGAGAACTAGCTGTGTGACTGAACAAGCAGCCTGCCTTAGAGTTCAGCTTCTTAAGCTGTAAAAGAGGAATGACAACGCCCATCTTGCAAAAGAATTCAAGGGTCAAACAAGGCAAAGCTGAATGCCTAGCATGTTGCCTGGCACTTAGCAAACACAGCTTCCCTCCAGGCTCTGCTCTGGGGGCTTCCATCACCTTTGCCTGAAAGTTAGGGACTGGACCTGAAGCTCTAGTTCTTTCTAAATTTAAAATTGAGAGGCTACATGTGGTCAGTTGTTGTAAGGGAAATATTAAGAGCTCAGAAGATCTGTCAGATGATGACAGGAAGGGGGTTTTCCCCTCGCTGGACTTTCTCCTCAGAAGTGATAGTTCACTAATCATCAAGTTTCCCCTGTAAAGTCGCTGTTGTGTCATTTCCTGGCATCTGAGGGAGAATGAACTGAGAACACCTACACGCAGGCACCCGTGAAAGGTTTCTGAGGGTCCGCCGGAATCCACCTTGCTCTGGCAGTGACTGTCCCCCACGGGAATGACACCACTGTCCTGTGTCCTAGCCTTCCATTATTGAGGCCCCATTCCTATGCCTTGCCCACTTCAGGTCCTCAAATAAAATCATTCAAAGATGGATGCCTCTTTCTTCAGGTCTGGCACCTCAATTTATAAGAAACATGGTGTTTTCTCCATTCTCAGACCAGAGGTCTTTCTCCTGTCCCATTCTGTACAATTTCTCTGTGTCCAATCATTCTGTCAACTCCACAGAGGGAGCTCAAGGGAGCTCAGAGTAGCTGAATCTACTGTTACAATGCCTGAAGTTGCCTAAGTAGTGCCAGGGCTGTATACTCTTGGACTAAATAAGTATGCAATAAGCAGAGACATATTTGGAATAGCAAAGTTTTTGGATGGGTTTCAAATGGATCATAGGCAACAGGAAACTTACAGTCATTGACTATTTAGGACCAAGTAAGTCAGTAAACATTAATATTTCTAAGTGTCTATATAAATCAACAAGTCCATTACCAAGTCATCTACCTCAGTGCTGAGGCGATTAGGTTAAATGAGGTCAGAAGTCTGCATCACCCAGAACACCAATCTCTGAACCAAAGCATGTGGGGAGTAGTGAACCTCTTAGCTCTCAACACAGCTCGACAGCCAGATGCCCTGGGTCTGACCCCTTCACCAGCAAGCTGCTTCCACTCTCTAGGTCTCAAATCCTCTTCTAGTCAAACTCCAGCTTAGGGGCATTCATATCTGAAAGCCCAAGGCTACCAGAGGCTGAATGGGGAAGCCATTCTCTAAGGTCGTCCCCAAGCTTCCCAAGTAAGTGACCAGTTTCTCCTCTTACCCCAACATGCCCCCTCAATGTCCCATAATAGCAGAGCTCCAACTGCATCACTTTTGTTTACGTATTTCCTCCACCTAACTGGGTTCCTTGGATCTCGGGGGCCTATCGCATAATGCTCAATAACGTTAGCAGAAATAGAAACATCTACTGGACTAGAGCCATGCTTCTCAAACCAGGTACACTGTGGGCTGAGATAATGCAAAGCCACAAGATAAACAAGATGCATCTTGCTAACGATCACGCTTAAAATATTTTCTTAAGACACTCTAGAAGAAAGCAAAATACGCAGTTTAAAAAAAAAAAAAGAAGTAGTAGCCTTTTTGCAGGCTGGCAGCTTCCAAATTTAGGACTCTGCCCCAGACTACTGGGTGTACAAGTTCCCTATCCTTTGTGCTACAGGTCCCTGCAAAAGCTGAGAAACCCAAGAAGCTCTGAACTCATGTGTGCCCTAGTTTCTGAGAGGCTGAAAGCAATTTGTCTGGGGTCAAAGATTACCAATGCCACTTTCCAGGTAAAAAAAAAACAGGCTAATCTTGCCCAAACAACCCAGAAGAATAATGCTGAGGACAGGAAAAAGACTTTTCAATTACTGGCCCAGGACATCACATAATTAAGCTTGTAAGAAGACATCCTTTTTAAAAGCCTAAAGTAATGTACTATAGTTTGCCTGGGTCCAGAGACCCTTTGATCACTTCCTGGAATAGACGCCAACAAACTCATTTCGAGCCTCTCCTCTTATTCTTTGCTGCCTGCCTGCCTCAGCAGGAAACCCTCTAGAATCTAGAGTCTAGATCAACAGTAATCAGAAGCACCTCTGCCTGGCTCTCTCTTACCCAAGCTTAGGGGCACATCTGAAGCCTCTCGAAGGTTAGCACTCCATCTGGACGTGCGTAAGTGCAAACACCATAGCCACATCCCCCTGCTTTAGAGGGGCTTCCGCACTCCACTGAAGGGCCCCAAACAGCCTAGAACTTTCTGAACTTTTCCCCACCCCCAGCCTTCAAGGATCTTGACCAATCCTATCCCAAAGGTGCCGAGTAGCAGGGCAAACATCTTGAGAGGAAAGAGGGGTTGAAGAACCAGCTCTTTCTTCCTGCAAGTGCCTCAGGGACCCCAGAAGGACCCAGTCAGGACTGCGAGGGAGGGCAGACACTCACACACACACACACCCAGGCCTGGAGTCCCGGTCCGCACTCACCTTGGCCGACGTCTCTCCGAACAGAGGTCTGTTGTCCAGACCACTGGTGCCATAGGTCCTAGTAGAGAAGTCCTCCATTTTGGGGTTTCTTGACTCTCTCCCCAAGTCACTCAAAACCGAGCCAGCATTCCTTCCCTAAGTCTCAGGTCCTGTGCCCTCCAAGCCGCCCGGTCACCGGGCACACATAGCCGAACCACGGGAGCGTCCGGGAAGTCCCGGCGGTGGCGGGGGGGGG